TGTTCCTTGGTCCAGAACCCACATGTGGTAAAAATGTCATGACAATCTGTCCACAAGTTTTTGAGTAACGTTGTCCACAGACCGAACGACAGATGGACATATGCGACTGAAAACATTACCTCGCCCTTGGGGGAGGTAATAACCTTTAACTGGGAGKCTTATTGTCAGTCACTTCAGTTTGTGTGATGGGTTCAACTTTTGCTCCACTTTTCTAAGTGAAAGTGTGCTTTGAGCCTGACGTCTGGTTCAACATTCCTCAGTGAAAGATTGTAGCGCCTGGCTGTTTGGACGTGCCGTAGTTTCAGGTTTGACATTTGGGAGCTGCCTTTAGGCCCACAGGCAGGCCTTTAAAGGTGACCAAGTCATGAGGCATCAGTTCAGCAAGAGGGGAGGATAAACCCCCATGTAGTTAAACATAAGTTTATCTGTTTAATCCCACAGGAACAGGAATAAATTAGTCAGAAACTCAGTAAAGATGAGGAAATACAGTCATCTGAAGGGAAGCTGTCAATCAAACGATCCACAGCTTGTGAAAACCCTTCAGCTGGGTTTTTACAGTTACTAAGTTTCTGCTTGGTTTTGACATTTCACTCAGCTGAACATTTCCACCCCTGAAGCCAGGAATACTTTGGAAAAATACTTGAGGAATAACCTCATTTACAGACAGAAACACACATAAGACTTACCACAGCGTTGTTTGAATCAGGTGTTTGATCTTTTGGTTTTGATTTCTCCACGAGATTCATCTTTTGTAGGTTCATTAAATATGTTAACCAACAGTCATGTGGCAACATACCTTTTTTTTTAATTTTAGCAAATTTCAAATATTAAAAACAAACAAATAAAACACTGAATGTGGGGCAGAGTTGTTACCGTCTGCTTGAAATGCAGCACAGGAAAATCAAATCCACAAACTGGCAACATGGACTGATGTAAGACCTGGTGTGTGTTTTTATAATCATATACTTATCAACCTGTTAATACTCTGACATAACTGAGAGGGCTGAGGTTAGGCACAGGAGGCTGTTCTGCCTGAAAAAAATGAGAATGAGTTAGAGTAAGTAAATAAAGTTTTATTTATAAAGCGCCTTTCACAGAGGTATATTCACAAAGTACTGTACAATCATTAACAAAGTAAAAATGGTGGAAACATAAAATGAAACAGAATAAAACTTAAGAATATAATGAAACATCAGATCAAGATTAAATTTTAAAACTATAACTCAGACACAAGGTCAGTGCAGAGCAAAATATACAATAATACACAAAACAAAGAGAGCGGGGGAGAGAGAAATGTGCCGTATGTTCAATAATAGAAAAACACATGGTGAGCGTTCACTATGGCTGGCAGTAATGGTGAATGGTTAGCTAAACACTTGAGAGAAAAAGTGAGTTTTTAGGAGTTTCTTGAAAGAGACAATATTATCAATGGAGCTCAGATTAACAGGGAGTTCATTCCAGAGCCTGGGGGCCACAGAGGAGAAGGACCGGTCACCACAGGTCTTAAAGAGACTGAGGGGAACCATGAGGAGATGTTGATCCTGTGAGTGAAGGTTTCGTCTGGGGTTGTAAGGGGAAATGAGACTTTTAATGTAATCAGGTGCTTGGCCATGAAGAGCTCTGAAGGTGAGGACCAGGATTTTGAACCAGATTCTGAACTGAACCAGAAACCAGTGAAGTTCTGCTAGGATCGGGGAGATGTGGGTGAATTTGGAGGTTCAGGTTAGGAGTCTTACTGCCCAGTTTTGGACAAACTGAAGACGAGTTAACTGTCTCTGGTTAAGACAGGTGAACAAGCTGTTACAATTGTAGTTTATAGTTTTAGAAGTAAATACTGTTCACCAGCTTTCAGTTTTTATCAGCTAAATGTTCCTTTTACACTGAAACAGACCAGAGGCACAGACCTAACAGGGCAGAGTTAACGTGTTCAAAGGTTTTATCAACATGAAGAAAAAGAAACATAATTTCCTTGATTAGATTCAAGAAATGATCATTTCTCTGTAGCTGAAAGACTTTTTACAGCTTCTCATTATTTAGGGAAAACTGAGATGAGTCCACAAAAGCAATTTCCTGTTGGTTTGAACTAAAACAGCTCCAGTTCTTTTCCGTGTTTGTCATTATGAAGCATCTGCTCCACGAACTAAACCACAGAAAAGTCAGGCGGAGCAGCTTTGGTCTGCCTGGGCTGGATGTGATCCCTCAGCACACATCAGAAGCAGTGTGTGTCATGTGCACCGCCAGTGTGTGCTGGGTTCCTGGTGGTTGTGATGGAGGGAGGCGAGGGGGTGGAGGCGTGCTTCAGAAGTGATTAGGGAGGGTTTTTAGGGTCTCAGACGTGTCATGAAGGAGGAAAATCAAATGAAGCTCTTTAAAACGCAGAGCAGCCCTGCACAGTGTGAGCCCCGCCTGGTGTCATCAGAGCAGGTTGTTAATTAAGAGGAAAGTCTCTCTGTTTAACACACACACACACACACA